TGTGTGTGTGTGTGTGTGTGTGTGTGTGTGTGTGTGTGTGTGTGTGTGTGTATTTTTCCATTCACATTATGAGATTGGAATGATTTTTTTTTCTTTCTAATTTTTGGGCTACGTAGATTACTTCCTCAAGTGTGCTTCTTGTAATGAAGGATCTAGATGACTGAATGTCTTGCCAATTCTAAATGTATTTTCAAAATATAGAAAATAAAACAATATCTATCAAATTGCCCATATTCTTTTTAATTTGCTGTTTTATTATGAGATAAAAAATTACCTTAGAGGTCATATAATCTAAGTGGTACCTGACCAAGATTCTTATGAACTTCACCCTTATTTTTTTTTCTTCAGAGGAGGATGTCTTTTCAATTATTTTAGATTCAGAAACGGAGTCTGCCTTTTTTTTTTTAATGGTTTTTGGCTCATTTCAGACAATAACAGACACTTTAAAATACAGAACTCTAGTCAACTTACAAATCAATAGGTAAAGCTTCTAATTACCTACATTGTGCATTGAAAGAAAGGGAACTATAACCTTGACCTGGAAGCTCATATTTCTAGCACAGGTGACTAAGTCACCATGGAGATGATGCTCACCTGGTTTATTGTACTGACAAACATGATTTAGGGCTGTTGGACTGGGAACCCCCACTGTAGTATCAGCAACATTTTAACACAGAAAAATTTCAGGCTGTCACTTTAATAATGTAAGTCAAATTGATATTCTCATGTCCTCTCTCTCTCTGTCTCTGTCTCTCTCTCTCTCTGTCTCTCTGTCTCTCTGTCTCTCTCTCTCTCTTTCTCTCTCTCTCTCTTCTCCCCCCTACATTTAAAAGTAAGAACAGTAACTGCAAAATTCAGAAAATTTACTTTTAAATGAGGAAAACCAAACTGAAAGGAAATAATTACTATACTAATTTATATTTGTATAGAAGTATAGAATTTAGTGTGGAACTTCACGTGTATACTTTCATTTGAATAACACTTAACAGTTTAGGCAGCCTTAAGTATTGCTTGTAGTGGGCTGTTGTTTGATTGGCACTGAATCAGGATGTCACAAGTCTTGAGTCTCAGCTTTGTTTTGAGTAGGATTTGTCTTTGTACCCGGAGCACCTAGCATATATTGGATATTTAATCAATTCTCATTGATTGGCTGGGCCAATTAATGAGGTGCTTAGCATACAAATCAGAGGCTTCTCAACTTCTCTGATGCCAGTAAGAAGTAATGAAGTACTAGTTCAGTTCCTACCATAAATATTCGAAATTCAATTCATTTCCTTCCAATTCATTTCAGTTCAACTAGTGCATACTAACTGCCTTCTATGAGTGAAATACTTGCTCTACTTGTGTTTCCATGACTTTGGTTTTGTGCTTTCCAAAGCCAAAACTAAAACTGAGTTCAAGAAACATTCACATAAAGCAAGGAAATATGGCAGCCACAGCTCTTGTGTCATTATTCTCTGCCTTCCTAACCTCCTATGCCCAAAGAGCTGCCCTTGTCAACAACCAAGCAGGGGCATCTGGTTTCATGATATCACCCTCCTTGGCAGCATAGGGATTCTCTCTTCTGCCATGTTCTACTGTGCCACTTGGCTTCAATACCCAAAGGTTAAATGACTTCTTTTGTTGCCAATGTATTTTTATTTTTTTGTTTTTACTTGTAAGTGGCTCAAAGTCCAGTACAGCTATCAATTTCCATAAAAGAGTGCTGCCTCATAATCTCCAGAATCATATAGTATTGGTTCTTATACTTCTCTCTTCCTCAATAATGAGGATTTTCTGGTGTTTTGGGAAAATGTAGCATATAGGATAGAACCTACTTAGAAAAGATTCATAAAAGGGACTCAAGGTATCATAGACTACAGAAATCATGTGATTCACACCATACTTAAGCAGGAATTCTTTCAATGACATTCCCAAGTTGTCATTTCTCTCTGCCAAATGTATTGTTAGCCATCCCACCTCCCCCAAGGACCTAACCCAGTACCTTAAATAGGGTATAACAAATGTGTTGCATTGAACTGTTGAAAACTGAACACCCACTATGTGCAAGGCTCTATAAAGAATGAAAACCTGAATAAGGTAAAACCTCTCCCCTCTAAGAGCTTATAATTAAATGGGATTATAAAGGAAACCAAGAATAACTACAAAACACAACAGAATATGAACAGTGCCATGAATAGTGCAGAGGGCTATGAGGATACAGAGGTAGAGTGAGTACAAATTTGGTTGAGAGGACCAGGGAAGGCTTCATGAAGGAGGTAGCCTTTTTCTGGCTAGGATGGATAGAATTTTGGTAGGTAGAGATGCAGACAGAGGATATTCCAGGGAGCAGAAAAAGCAGGAACAATGCAACAAAAATTTACTAAATACCTACTGAGTACAAGACCCTCATCTTTTTGGCTTTTGCTAGAAAAGCAGATTGGGTCTGTCAAAAAGTAGTAAGTATTGTGGGACTATGGGACACCCTTGCTCTGAAATCTCTAGAGACTTTATTGCTTCTAGGCTAAACTACTATGATTGGCATTTAAAGACCTTTATAATATGGTGCCAATCTATTATTCCACATTCAAGTCATAGCATTCCTTTTACACCCACCCACCCCACCCCCAATATATTTTGGTATATTTGTTGTTCTCTGCACACAAAATTCCACATGCATAGGAAACTCTCCATGCTTATAACACTCTCCATCTTAACCTCTGCCTTCTGGAACCCCTAGGTTTCAAGATTTAGCATAGGTGTCATTCCCTTTGAGAAGCTATCCTTGATCATTTGCCCCTCCCTTAGTAATCTCTTCTCAAATCATTTTGTATAAATCCTGTGTTTTTTGTGGACAAGTTACATAACAGAATAGAATAGACTCCAGGGCAGGGGCTTTCACTTTTATGTTTTCACTCCCATTGCCTGGCTGTTTGTTTGTCCTTCATGCTGGAAGAGGACCAAAATGACATCAACAATGTCTAGCTAGCACCACACAGGTGCTTAATAAAGTCTTTTTGATTGATCAGTTGTGGTAGACTTTAAATGCCAGGCTAAAAGGTATTGATTTCATTCCATAGACAGTGCAAAACCACTGAAGATGTTCAAGCAGGAAAATGATGATGAGAACCGAGCTCTAGGAAAATTAATCTTGAAGTATTTTTGTTTATTTGTTTTAGGATGACTTGGATATGAAAGACAAGCAGCAGAGGGAACAGTTAGGAGGCCATTATAATAGTTTGTGTGACTAGTAAGCACCTCCTTTATTCAAAGGCATTATGATAACTCCCAGTGTTCAGGTGAAATGTATTGCAGAATGTGGATTTAGGGTTGAAGGGACACTAGAGGCTGTTGAGTTTCAGCCTCTCATTTTACAGATTAGAAAATTAATATCCAGGTTTTGACTTGCCCAGTGTCACACAGCTTGCAAGTATCGCAGCTATATACTACTTGCAATGAATTTATACTAACATACTAACATACTAATACTAATATACTAATCCCTTAACTTCTCTGAGCCTCAGTTTACATAAAAGGAATGAATTGGACTAGAGGATCTCTATGGTTACTTCCAGTTCTAAAATTTAATGATTCCTATGAAATTCATCATTCCCTCCCTCCCCCCCCCAACAATGATTCACTGCCCCTTCTGTCTGACTGGAAAGCTCACTGTCATATTTGACCCATCTCTGTCCCTTATCTCCATTTCCAAATAGCAGCCAAGTACTATTAGTTCTTCCTTTTGAAGATTTGTCACCTCTCTCTCCTCCTTTCTGTTCCCATTGTCAGCACTTTTTTCCAGGCTCTTATCTCTCACAGGGTTATTGTCATAGGCTCCTGAAGACCTTCCCAGCTTCCAATTTCTCATACCTTGAATCGCCTTTTCATGTTGTTGGCAGATTTGCTTTGGGTAAGTGATTTCTTTCTCAATTCAGACTTCAGTTTTCCTCATCTATAAAATGTCAGGATTGGACTAAGTGGTCCTTAAAGTCCCTTCAGGTTCTTACATTTTGTGATTTCCTTTTTTTTCCTTTTTGAGTCTCCCTAGTGATCAGCTTTATCACATCATTCCACCACCCAAACATCTTCAATAGGTCTTTAGTGATCTACAAATGGAGCCTAAACATTCAACCCCAGCAGGAGAAGCTCATTGCTATTGGGCTCCAACTAACTTTTGCAACTGAATCTTTTATTATTCCTTTTCACATATGTTTTGTTCCAACTAAATTACACATTACTCACTGTGTGCTCCCACCTCAATGCCTTCGCTAACACCATTCATTATGCCTGGCAAATCATTCTTTTATATATATATCAGCTGACACCCATCCTTCAAAAGCCAGTTCAAATTCACCCATCTCCTAGAAACTTCACCCAACTCTCATTTGGAATTCAATTCAGCAAACTTTAAGCACCTATTTAATGTGGAGCATTACTCAGCTGCCAATGTAATTTTACTGAAGCATAGGTGCATCCACATTTATTGCTCCCCTACTTAATAGAGCTTCTTAGTACTTTCAGGAACAAATGTAAAATCCTCTATTTGGCATTTAAAGCCCTTCACAAACTAGTCCCTTACTATCTACTCACACTTCACTCCTCTCTCTGCAGTCCATGATTCATGGACACTGGCCTTCGTGATGTTCCTTACACACAACACTCCAGTTTTGCCTTCTATGCATTTGCTCTGTCTCCACTTGCCTAGAATGCTCTTTCTCCCTTCTGGGTTTCCTGATTTCCTTCAAGGTTCATCTCAAATCTTACCTTCTGCAGGAGACTGATCTTAGTCCCCTCTGCAGTTAGTGCCTTTCTTTTCCCTGAGATAACCTTCCACTGATATTGTATATATCTTGTTATGTTCAGCTATTTGCTTATTGTCCTCTCAAAT